TCCTATCTTGAAAAAATTCGTCTTTTTTTGATTGTTTAAAACAGGATTTAGACGGATCTTAAATATGATCTTACTTCTAAAAACAGATTAGGGCTTGTTATGGCTTGTGAACTTTAACTCCAACAAAACTCAGTTATTTACTACAAACAACAAATCGTAACCCTCTTACTAAGTTTTCTTCCCTTCATCTTCTTGGATTATCCCCCGTACATACAACATACAACAGTACATACAACATACAACAGTACATACTGTTGACCCAAAAATAAATTTTATTTTATTTAAACATAAAACTTTTATAACTCAATATATTATTTAGTTAATAATGTATTTTTTTTTTTTTAAATGAAATGATTTTTTTTCTTTCATGTTACTGTAAACCAGAATCAGAAAAATTAGTCTTAATTTTTGACTTTACGTTTTAATTGTTTTAAACTCAAAGTTTCTTTTTATCTCTGCTTAATAGACAATAGCATAAAATATTTATTTAAATGATAAGTTTTTCTATATGATTCATGATTGAGAACTAATTCTTATTCTTAACGTATTTGAAAAGTATATAAATCCTCCAAGTAAACATTTTGTTTAAAAAACTCTTTATTATCATGCATCTGCAAAAAAAAATTAACATTGCAGTTGAGAAAAAATTAAAAAATTTAACAATTATAATGCCCCTAATATAACTTAAGATTTTTGCTATGTGACAGCATAAAGGTATTTACCACTAAAGCTCTACTATGTTTTTGATTTAACTAGATTTTCTCTTATTTAGATTACTAAAATATATGGCACAAAATACTATAAGTTTACCTGAAGAGCTGAGATCTCGACCGACCACTGCTGGTATTAATAATGTAGGAAAGGTATTTCAAAGTTTAATGTATATCTATATGCTATTTTATCTAATGAAAAAGTTATTTTATAGTACTATAATTAATAGTAAATATTTATCTATTTATAAATTAAGTTAATAGTCATATTTATTGTATTAATTCAAAAAAAAAGTTCGCACAACCAGTTGCTTGTATATAACATTAAGCTTGGTTATAAATATAAATATATATATATATATATATACATATATTTTTTTTTTTTTTTTATAGAACTACGTATTATTTTAAATTTTTATAAATTTTTTAAATTTTTTATTTTAACTTAAATTATTTAAAAACGTACAGGCTATAAAAATATAACAAGAACTTATGAAACTTTTTGTAAAAGCTTAAAAAAGAGCTTAAAGAAAAGACGAAATTTAGAATAAACTTACAAAACTTGACAGTTGACAGAAAATACACTCTCCAGATCCAGCTGATTTGGAAATAAAACTTAGCTGATTTGGAAATCAAACCTGCTGATAATTCAATTGAATCTCTAAACCTAGAATATTATAAAAAAGAAGTATGAATGGGGGGGGGGGGGGCCCGAAGTGTTGATCAAAAGGGGACTTACAGCATTAGGTTAATTATGTTCCAGTAAATTAAAATTAGAAAAGCGCAAAATTAATGGAGATTAGCATAAAGACAAGTTGTGATTTGCACTTTGATTGAGAAAAAAGACATGTAAAGGATTAAATAGACTCAGAAACAAATAGAATTTTTTTAGTTAAGTTTGAATTAATTGTAAAGCTTTATCAATTTCTAGCAGAACAATTCAAACGTTATGTCAATGGATTGTTTGTTGAAAATTACTTAAGTAAAAAGTTTAAAACGTTATGTTATATATGTTGATTTTACTCTAGATGTCAGTCATAAAGATCAACTTAGTACAGTTTTAACATGCATTAACCTTTTGAACCTTTGTACCCTTTGACAATCATTGAATCTTGTTGGAGTTTCGGGTGTTAGTTTATGTATTGAAGCAATCAACTTCTTTAGAATTGTTCAAGAAAGCTTTAATTTCTTTGATGCAACTAAAAAAAGGTGGAATAAACTTGAATTACATTGCAACAAAAGAGTCAAACCTTTATCAAAGAACCCCATCGCGTCTCACTCATACTACCTCAATTAAAGCTATTAACCAGGGTTAAACATTCTTGGGAGGATATTTCTTGTTCCTCTCCCACCTAGCTAACAAAGAGCGATTGACGGATTTCTGTAAGTATTTTTCAAGTCAACCAAAACTATTGAAGAAATGATCTGGATATTGTGTAAGGCAACATGAAAACTCATACAATTAAAAGCATTCATTGCGTCAATCAAAAGTATTGCATCTGTTTTGTCATTGTTAAATATTTGTTTCATGGCATGTACTGTAGCTTCGGCTTCTACTCTATATCCAGTACATATTTGTAATGGTCCTGCTGCTATATATATATATATATATATATATATATATATATATATATATATATATATATATATATATATATATATATATATATATATATATAATATATATATATATATATATATATATATATATATATATATATATATATATATAGTCGGAAAAGTCGGACTTTTACGAGTCGGATAAGTTTTTAATTCCCCTTGAATTCTTTATACATACCGAAAGTTTTGCTTAACTCGGACATTCGCTAAGTCGAACAAACTATACATACCTGTTCAGAGTCCAAGTTAACGGGATTCTTCTGTATTATTTACTACTCCTGATGGTTTGAGGTGTTTTTTTTTTAGTTTTTTCTTTAATTATATTATCCGATAGTAGTTATATATCGGATGGTGTCTCTTTTTCTAAATGTTTCAGCGCTACAGTGATTTTACCTTCCATAACTAAATTTGAAAAAACTCTAGATGTATTGCCCGAAGATCTTTTATTTTTGGAGTTTACAGTTTTTTTTATATGTTTCAAACTTCTTTTACCATTGGGCTAGTATATCCTTTTTTCAAAGATCAGTTATACAAGTTAAATGTTATGTGTGTTTTTTGGGTTTTGATTTTTCAGAAGGTTTTTGAAAAAAAAGACATTTATTTTTATTTTTGGTCGAAGTGTTGTAAAAGTATCTATTTTTTCTAGACTTTTTGCAAAGAATTCTTTTACATTTAAAATATGGTCTCTTTTTAGAAGATTTATACAAAGCTAAATGAGTTAATAGCAAATTTTTTACATATCCATACTTTTATCTTCAAAGTAACTTTTGATAAAAGTATGGATATGTAAAATTTTATTGTATATGGATTCATCAATATCCTTATTTTACACTTTTGCAACATTTTCACACATTATATATATAATTGTATATATATATATATATATATATATATATATATATATATATATATATATATATATATATATATATATATATATATATATAATTGCACATATATATATATATATATATATATACATATATATACATATATATAATGTGCAATTACGCATTATTCGGTTATAACTAATTAATTTATACATTTATTAGATATAAAGATTAATGTATAATTGCACATTCTAACATCCAGTGCAATATTTGTCTGCTATTTATATTCTATTATTCTAACTCGGCTTCATTTGTCTGTCATTCTAATATTCTTTATTCTTCCTAAACTCACTTACTCTTGGTCCGTCAAAGTGGATTGTGCTTTTTAGTGAGCTGAACTTGTCTTTGAGGGCCTTGGTATGAGGCCTCTATTTGCGACTAGCCGGAGGAAAATAAACCACAATCCTAAAAATTGATCCGTTTCATGATAAACTATAGTACTTCTACCTGCCAATGTTATTTGTCTTATATTTGTTTAAAATCAGATATTTTTTTACGGTGCACATGCATTGTATAAACATGTATGTAAATGTACATACGTTTACTGTATTTGATTTAAAATGAGTTGTTCAAAACTCTACGCCCATTTTAAATGATTATGTTAAAAAAAATATTTTCGCATTATATTGCAGCATATATATAGCTAATACCTTATTAGAGCACAACTCGAAATTAGAAATTGAAACCGACGTTAGAAATTTTTATAACTGGGAATTGGGCTTTCCTAATTTGTTAAAAAACGTAATCCCGTCGTCCAATATTGACTAATTTTTCAGTATATAAGTAGGAATTAGCAATTGTGAAATAAGTAAGAATTAGATTACTTAAATCAATACAGGAATTGTCCAGTGGGCACAAGAACGTTTTGTAAACGTTTAACATTTTTTTACACAGTTATGGAAAAACTTTTACCGATTCAAATTTAGGTGTAGAAGCCTAAATCTGCATAAAGATCTTTAAGAAAAAATTTATTAAATGTTTAATTATTTTGTATTCATTTATAATGAAAGTATACAAAAACGTTAAAAATAATTTTTATGTTATTCTATAAAGAGCTCTTTTCAAATGATTGCGTATCAACGTATTGAGCAAATCGAATTTTTTTGCATGTCACACACTAATGTTTTTAAAAAAGTAATACCATATAAATCTTTTATGCATTTTATTAGCACATACAAAGGATGTTATATATGCATACATTTATAAAAAAAATATTCAGGGTAAATTTTATGTGAATTCTAAACATTGCACGTTTAGTTTATATAACAATTTTGAAAACGTAGCTATCGCTTGATTATGGAATAAAATTAGTAAAACAAACATGTTATATCAACATTTAAAATCTACCTAAAACTGCTTTATACAACGTTTTTTAAATCATCTTTCTTCATATCTCCCAGCTTTGTTAAACAACGATTGAACATTTTTTAACTCAGCAGGTGACGGCCCTACAAAATTTATTCAATATATTAATGTAAAGAAGTTAATGAAACCAACAAATAAAACTTTTCTTTATTATTTATTTTTCATCAAGTTCCTTTATATTATTGCATTTATTTATATAAAATGAATCCAATAAAAAAAAATGAATTCCGTAAATATTACATATTAAAAACCCATTATAGATAATTCCAATGTAATGTTTTGTAAATATTGTAATGTTTTGTAAAATAAAGAATAATGAAAAATATTGATCCCTCCCAAAATATATATATATATATATATATATATATATATATATATATATATATATATATATATATATATATATATACATATATATATATATATATATATATATATATATATATATATATATATATATATATATATATATATATATATATATATATATATATATATATATATATATATATATATATATATATATATATATATATATATATATATATATATATATATATAATATATATAAAAAAACATCTCACTTGATAGTAGCGCTGTTGAAGTCAAGTATACGTTAGTTATAACATGGTCATAACAAGTATCATCTTTTAATGTTAGTTATAACAAGTGTCATTTATTGTAGCATGAAAAAAAAAAAAACATTATTTCTGTTCCCAAGCAAACAATAAGTTTTTTTTATAGCATTTCTCATTTTTATTTTAAATATGCAATTCATTTTTCACCATCATGTCAAGTTTTAAAGATATTTGGGTTTAAATCTTTAGTATTTAGGGTAAAATCCCTAATATTGTCGAAAAAAAGGTCAACCTGGGTCTCAAAAAAAGCGTATTTTCATAAAGATTTTAAAAATGTTATTCGTTTGTAATAAAAATAAGTACTTTTTGTATTATTGCTGAAAAACATTTTGTTAAAATTGTTTTAAGAGTCTTTAGCATTTTTATTACATGTTTTTTATTACATGTTTTTGTCAATAAGTTTTGAGAAAAATAATTATGTTTTCTAAAATTTCTATAAAAATACGCTTCTTTTGAGACCCAGGTTAACATACTTTTGAATAACTATTTTTTCGACAATATTAGGGATTTTACTACAAATACTAAAGATTTGAACCCAAATATCTTTACAGCTTGACGTGATGGTGAAAAATGAATTGCATATTTGAAATCAAATTGAGAAATGCTATAAAAAAAACTTATTGTTTGCTCGGGAACAGAAAAAAAAATGTTTTGGTTGACCAATGTTATATATAGTTTATAAGTCATTAACTTGGGGTCAAATAATAATTGAGCACCCAGTCCCGATTGCGTTAAAGAAATAATTATCCATTGTTTGGCCGAAATAACACAAAAAGAATTAGACTATAACACGTCAAGTAGCGACAGCTCACTTGATAATGATCCACCTGCTGCAAAAAGTAGACTAGAGAAGTTGAAGCTGTCTTCATTCATCAAACATGGCCTTAATTCAAATGACATTCGTAATTATTCTCTATTTTTAGATTTAGTTGTTGAATGCGCTGCTTCCGATAAACATGAAGAAAGTGAGTCGAAATCTGAAACTTGCAGTAATAGCACTAGTAGTCATGAAGATAACGAGCCTTTTAATGACGATGAATAACCTGCAAAAGAAGCTGCTGTTATTTAAGTGTTTGCTACATTTATCAACAACTTTTTCAGCAAATATGTAGAAAACAAAATTGCTGATAATGATGCTGCTGTTGACGCGGAAGAAGAAGTTTTTGCTCCCGATGATCTGCATAATTTGAAATCAGTTATGGATCTAAAAATCAAAGAAAGAATGAAAAATATTGCTGCTAAACATCCAAAGAAAAAAATAACATGGGAAAACCTTCTAAAACATGTTGCTTTACATTTGGACACAATCGAAAACAACAGCTTGATCTTAAACTGGCAGAATTGCCAAGGTCTGGAAAAGTATTGATGGAGTCATCGCGTCCTCAAAAGTATTGATGGAGTCATCGCGTCCTCAAAAGTATTGATGGAGTCATCGCGTCTTCAAATGGAAAATGCTAGATTGAAGTACAAGTTTAAATAAGAACTAGTTTAAATATATTTCTAATATACACTTATATTTATATTACATATTTATACAGGCCATTACCGTGTGGTGAATTCGGCAAATATGCATATTACGTTTTGCTTGATAGGATCAATTCCTAAAAATATTCGCTTTTATCTTGATGAATTGGTTACTAGATTTCCTGAATATTTGCCGAAAATTCTTGGATAAGCATATTAATATCTAAATTAGAGGAAAACGCGGACATCGTATCCACGCACAAATGCGCAACAGTTTGATGCAGGAAGAGATTTCAAAAATTGTTCTACCTCAAATGTAAGTTATGATTCCAACATAACTAAAACTTTTCTAATTCTGAATTAATTTTGAAAAGTTTAATTCCTACTTACTTATTTTAATTCTGACTTTTTCTAAACATTTGCCAAAGAAGACGTGCTCTACTCAAAGGTGGATAAAAATGGAGCAGAAACAAACATTGTACACTTATCGAACTTCAATGAGAATGATTTTGGTGTCATTAACCAAATTACTTCTGTCCATCTATTAAACAAATTTTATCATATGGGAGAGGAGGGAAACAAACCGAATTCCAAGTAACGCACCATATGAAATGGTTGATTTTTTGGGACTTTACCATCTCCAAAAAATATCCAAACAATGTTGTACTTGCCAACAGTTCAATTGACAAGTCAAAAGTCTGCGTTGTTTCTGACATGCGATAAGATGGTGTAAAAGACAAATTCAAAGTGACAATTGCTCCTTTCAAAAAACAAAGAGATTTCTTTAAAGGATACCCGTGCAGTTCATCAGATTTCAATATTTTTCTAGTCTCTGTAGATATAAATCATGACAGAAAACGCAAAGTTGATGCAGACTGCATAGAAAATCAGTTTTTCTGCCTTTTAAATGAGAAGGAAGTTGCTGACATTGATACTGATGCAAAAGAACAAAGTTGATTTAACAAAAAAATTGCTCAGTGCACACCCTTGTTCCATGCTATGACTAGCGAGTAAATCTATTTTTCCATGTATATATGTGTTCATTTCCGGTATAAAGTATATATTTTTGATATCAAAAATTGTTCAGAATTTATTTTAAATAGTTAACAACTGTTACATGTATATATTTCTCGTAATAAAAAAAACTATAAGATATAAATATCTATGTATCGAAATTAAGGCAACTTAGTTATTTGAATCTTATTTGAATCAATCAATTAATTCGAAATTAGTGTAAAACATCTTTCTAACTCCTAATTCCCCCATCAGCCAAAAATGTCCATAAATTGTCAAAATACGTTTTAATTCCGACTTAAAATGGAGTTTCTCACACTTTTTTGAGTCTATTTACAAGTTGCGTTTTACTAGGGTATTGTAAATCAATATTGGCTATATATATATATCAAAAAATGAGTATTTTATGTTGGTACAACATTGTTAACAATATTGAAATTAATATTGCACAGATGTTGCTTGCAAGTATGGTCTATAACACATTTAGTTTTTTTTAATCTAAGGAAAAAAAACTTTTTTAATTTATCTAAATGAACTTTAGAAAGCTATTAATACAACAATTGTTAAAACATAAAAAAAAATTGTTTTATTAAAATTAAAATTAAATTTTATCTTGATAAGAAAAAGAACTTGTCTATTTTAAACATTAAAAATTACTCAAATATAAAATACTTTAAGCTTCCATTCATTGGAATTTGTTCTTATTTTACAAAAATCAGAGCTAAAAGAATTGCTTAAAATTATTGAAAAGATTTGCTTATAAAATTAAAATTTAGCACTAATAAAATGAAAAACTGTTTTTGCTTAAAAGAATCACTTTCTAAGCTATAAAAACCTCATTTTGATTAACACAATTCTATAATTTAATGTAAACAATTAATGTAATAAACAAAATTCCTATTATACTTTAAACTTTTCTATATAAAATTAATTAATTGGCTATTTACTGAATCATTTTTGTTATCAAGTCGATTGTTTTATAATATATATTTTTTTGTCCGTCATTAACTATTTGTAAAATCTTTAGTTTTTAAAATTTAATTCCGGAGTTTTTAGTAGATTTACAAGAACTGTAGAATAAATTACAAATAATTATCAACTTTTATGTTTTTAATTTTTTTTTAATTTTATTAGGTATTTGTTTTAATAAAAGTATTTACTTCTGCATTTAAGGTTCGACGATTCCATGATTTGAAACGTATTGAAAAAGCATTTATCCGGCTAGCTTTTGTAAGCATAGTAATAGCTGGCATAATAACTGTGGTGCGAATAAATGGTTTACTCAAACCAAGTGCAGACTTCACTTTTGCTCTTTTACTTCTTATAAACTTATGTAAGCCATAATTTTTTTTTTACTACTTTAGAAGTTTTAATGCATATTATTTTGGATATTTAAACATTACAAATTAATCCAGCTGTATAACTACCCATGCATAACAGCTGATACTTTTATAAAAGTAAGTTTCTAATTCTAAAAAAATAAAAATAATTTATAATGCTAAAATGGGAACTGTTCATTAAGATGACACTCCAACACAGGTAAAACGTTGTCCCCATGGCTTATGACTATTGGTTGAAATCATAAAGATTCCATAAAAGTACTTATTTTAGTATGATGTGTATAGTATGCAGAACCGGTTCAAGGACATTTTTTGGTATATGCAAGATCAAGGTTTGGCGGCCCCTATCATAAAAAATATATGTGTTTATTATAAATTATATTTATTAACTAATTTGTTTGTAATAAATGCACTTTTATACCAAATCTTACGATTGATACTACACCTGATTATTGTTATTGAGATTTTTTCAATGCTTGTTTTTTGTTTTCTCTAATATATAAACAACTCACATTATGGAGTTTATTTTTTTTAAGTCAAAAATATGGTTTAAAAAAATAAGAAAGAAAAAAAAAAGTCGACTACATCAGAGCGGCGCCCTAAAAATCCTGGCACCCTATGTGACGACTTAACTCGCATGGCCTTTGCACCGGCCCTGATTGTATGATGTATACTCTCAGGTAAAAAGAGGGAGCAGCTGGTAATAGAAAAATCCTTGATTAGACTGTAAATTATTAAGCAAAAAACACTTATTACAGAACTATCATAATTGTTTTTAAAAGTCATTTATTTGTGGTTTTATAAAGAATTTTGTTTATTAAAAAGCGAAAAATATTTATCAAACAATGCGCCTTAGCTTTCAGCGTTTTGAAGTGCCGTGGTTTAAATCCTTGCTCTTTCAAATTTTTTTTAAAAATACACAAAAAAAAACATTTTTGAAATTTTAATGAGATTTTTACTGTTACTATTTTAGTTTTACTTTGGTTTAAAAATTTTATTGCGCCGATATCTCCATTATTTTTATTTATAGCATTTATTTGCCGTTTGTTTATAGTTATTTCGTCTTTTGCAATTTTTAACACTATTTAATAAATTAAATAGTGTTAAAAATTGGCAGATTAGCTCGCTACGCTTCCGAAGTACAGTGGAAGGGTTCAAATACTATCGCTTACATATAATTTTTTAAAATCTTTTCCAACTTTCTAAACTACAAAATAAAACATTTTTAAAGTTTTATTAACGTTATATATATAACATATATAAACATATTATTTACTATAACAAACAAAAAGAAGAAAGTTTTTAAAAAACATAAAAGTTTCAAAAAACATCAAAACAGTGGTAGAAATTTTTCGCGTATATATTGTACAATGCTCAGAAAATTAGTTGTCTGCATGTTTAACACACATTTAAGGGATAACTTTTTATATTTATATAAAAAGATTTTACAGTCAAGCTTTTATTTTCTTAAAAATTAATTAAAGGGGTGAAGGTTCTAATAAGCTCCAAATGATCTGGTAAAAAATTTTATAAAAAAAACAAAATAGAAACTAAATAAAGAAAAAAAATTTATTGTCCCGTACTCTTTTTTTTATAGAAGTTCAGAACTTTACCATAAAAAGTTATAAAGTATTGAACATTAACTGTTAACTCAAAACATTTTAAAGATTTTTATTTTCTACTACTTACTAAAAACTATTCAAATAAAATAAAATAAAAAGAATAAGTATAGAAATAGTCAGTGTGGAATAGACTTACCATGAGCCCTATTATACCGCTCATTTTAAATTTATTATTACACATAATTTGAAGTCTAATTCCAAAAGTTTTTTAAAACTTCTTAAACCGATTGTAATTAATGAGCACATTTCATTCGGGTATTCTATATACCCGCATGAAATGTGTTCAAACACACACACACACACACACACGCCCCCACACACACGCACACACACACGCACACACACGCACACACGCACACACACACTCACACACACACGCACACACACACACACACACACACACACACACACACACATATATATATATATATATATATATATATATATATATATATATATATATATATATATATATATATATATATATATATATATATATATATATTAGGGTGCATCAAATGTCCCATACTTTTAAAAACAGATGTTTACCTATTCTTAAAACTTTATATTGGCTCCCACAAGCAACTTTGTTAAATTATTTTAGAATGTGACTAGATTTAGGGGGGCCACCATATATCATTATGAGTTTATTATTTCACATATTTTGAAGTCTAATTCTAAATGAAAAAAACACTAAAATTTTTAAATGGAAAAAATACTAAATGGAACACTAACACTAAATTCTAAATGGAAAAAACACTAAACGGAAAAAATACTAAAAAAACTTGACGTTAAATTTGTGTTAATAATAATCTGGACAGTCCACTGTAAAGAAGTGGGGTGATGAATGGACTGGCAAGTCCATTTGGAACTCTGGTCCAAGTCACAGTAGTTGCGGGGTGGCGATTCTCTCTAAACCCAACATTTCTGTAACCGAACTAAAAAGGGACACTAACGGTAGAATATTAAACGCCATGATAAAAATTGATGAACACGAAATGCAAATGCTGAACATTTACGCGTCTAATGTGTCGAGAGAAAGGCGTCATTTCTTTGGCGATCTTGGAGATTTCTCGCAGGACACAGGACTACCCGTCCTGATGGCCGGGGATTTCAACATGGTCGAAAGCCTGCCTCTTGACACAGAAGGCTCGAACAATGCAAAATATCACACCTACGGCATTGCTGAACTCGGGGTCTTCCAAGGTAAGTATAACCTGGTAGATATTTTTCGTTATAAGTTTCCCAACAAAAGAGAATTCACATGGCGCAATCAGACGGTTAAATGTAGACTAGACAGAATATACTGCCCTGATGAAGTCGCCAAAAAAGCAACATACACCAAAATTCTCACCAACCCCTTTTCCAACCACGAGTTCGTGTCAACAACTGTCAATTTTAGTAAAACTAGGAGAGGACCAGGATACTGGAAATTAAATTGCTCTCTATTGGAAATAGAAGTGTATAGGCAAAAAATTGAACTCCTAATTCAAGATTGGCAAACAAAAAAAAGGTCCTACGAGTCTATTTTGAAATAGTGGGACGGCTGCAAACTTTTTGTTAGGGCTGAATTACAACACATTTCGATACCGGAAAGTGCGAAAAACAAAAAACATATCAAAAGGATTGAAAACGAAATCCAATGGGAGCAACAAAACGCTTACCCAAATTTAGATAGCATCAAACAAAAATGCGATGCTCTTTTCTTGCTCCAGTTTCCAGGAGCGTTTATTCGCACGAAGCAAAAACTAATCCAAGAAGGAGAAAAACCTTCAAAATTTTTGTATAATTTGGAAAAATTTCAACAGCGGAACAAGTCAGTTACCGAAATTCGCAAGAATGACGGCACATTGACGAGTGAACCAGATGAAATACTAGACACCCTGTCAACGTATTATAAAAACATTTACACCAAAACAAATTTATGCAAAGACAGCCAAAACTATGTCTTGTCACACATCACTAAACCTTTGAGCGATGATGAAAACCAGTTTTTAAACACCCACCTAACCGGCGCGGAACTAAAAGAAACCCTTTTTAAATTTGAAAACGGAAAATCTTCGGGCTATGACGGATTTCCAGCTGTATTTTACAAAACTTTTTGGCACATTTTAGAAAAAGATAATGAAGAACTTGCCTACGAAACACTTTTTGTAGAAAAAAATACCAGCCGCTCTATGAAAAAATCAATAATTTCACTGATTCCCAAACAAGGAAATCTTACTAAATGCAAAAAGTGGAGGCCCATATCTTTATTCGGCGCTGATTACAAAATAATCACAAAAGCGCTGGCCCTAAGACTTGCAAAAGTAATGGGGAAAATTATAGAACCAAATCAGACTTGCGGAATTCCAGATAGAAAAATTTTTTCAAATTCACATCTAGTACGTGATCTTATAGATTACGCTGAATTTAAAAAACTACCTAGTTTCATTTTGACCATAGATCAAGAAAAGGCGTTTGACAAAGTCGATCGTGCGTTTCTGCTGCTAATTCTCCAAAAATTTAATCTCGGAGAAAATTTAGTATCCTTTATTAACACCTTGTATTCAGAAGTGTCGGCAACAGTTCTGAATTGCGGCTTCTTGTCGACCTCCTTTCTTATAGAAAGGGGTGTTAGACAAGGCGACCCTCTCTCTCTTTTGATGTACGTTTTTGTCGCCGAAGCTCTGGCTTTGGTGATACGAGCGGACAGCAAAATAAAGGGTTTTCCTATACCGGGAGCACCGAAACCTCTAAAACTACAGCAGTACGCAGACGATTCGAACTTTTTTGCCAATAAAAATAACGTAAAATGTGTCCGTTATTTCCTTGAAAACGTAAAAATCTTCGAAAAAGCAAGTGGTTCAGTGATCAACGCCTCAAAAACCAAGGGTCTTGCTCTTGGGGGTTTTGGTCCCGAAATTTATAGAAAATTGGATATCATAGAATGAAACGACGACACCGGTTTTAAAATTTTAGGTGTTACCTTTTATACCAGATTGAGGAATACTACTAATTTTAACTGGCAAGTAGCTCTTAAGAAAATAGAGAAAAAACTCAAGTTTCTGGGACTGCGTACTTTGTCACTTAGAGGAAAGGCTAATTTGATAAATACGCTAGCAATGTCAAAAGTGTGGTTTCTATCAAACGTGTTGCCCACTCCAGATTGGGTAATAGAGCGTATGCCATTTTCAAAAATTATAATTGGCAAAAGACCAATTATAACCCGGTCAAACGAGAGACACTTTTCCTACCCGTCAAAAGCGGGGGTCTCGGATTATTATCGCCGAAGGAGCAAAGTCTTGCGCTCCGCCTTAAAACGCTCTTTCAAATAAAAGAGTGTCAAGAGGGCAAAACTCACGATTCTTACTACTTTTCAAAGTATTGGTTGGCAAGTTCACTTGTAAAATTTACTAAACAAAACCAAAGCAGGAACTTTTTAAGATAAAACACTTTTCCAAAACACTGGGACAACAAAATGTCTCAGTACTACAAAACCACAATTGAATTTTTAAGCAAATACGGGTCCCTGTTTAACATCCCCCTAAAAACAACAAAAAATATTTATTTAGAAGTGGCAAAAAACAAAAAGACAGTCGTGCCAGCTGAACTATTCTGGAACAGTTCAACAAAAACAACAATGCCGTGGACCCAGATTTGGAAAAAAAACTTTACCTCCTACGCATACGGACCAACACAAAACATCCTCTTTCGATTTCTTCACAACAGCTTACCTTCCGCTGCCTTGCTTGCCAAAAGCACAAGGCAACAGATCGTTAAAAACAACAAATGTAAAACTTGCGGAAAAATTGAGGACAATCTGCACATCTTTGCCTACTGTCCTCCCTCTATTACAATATGGGAATACTTTAAACATGTATATAACTCCTTAACATCCCAAAACAACTTTTCTCCAATAAATTCGATATTTTCGATTGAAACTGCGAATTTATCGGAGAAAAACCTTACCTCGCAGCTGCTTTTGACAATCACTAAAACCATCATGAGTGAAATATGGAACAGCAGATGCCACCATTTGTTTAACAATTCAAAAATTGACGCAATGGCAGTGATCAGGATATCCTGATTGGGTTCCATCCTTAAATATGGGGCACAAAAAGTTTTAATTTGAGGTTGAGAAACCTAGAGAAAGATACTTACGACACAAAAATCGTTCATTGTTAACAAGTCGAAATGATTCTATGTCTTGTAGAAACAGCATCACTAATTTAAACCTTTCTGAAGATTCAATTGTAGATTTTCAAATAAAGAATTTTAAAAGTAGTGAATCAATTGCCTTAGAAAGTGTTTCAATAGATTGTGAAAACTTAGTAGATGCGAGCGTTCAAACTGATATGACTGTCAAAAATATCAATCAAATAGAAACTGAGTTTATATATAAAAACAAACTTAATTATGATTTGCGTGCAAATTTAGTCAAACTCCATGTGGGAACTATTAAATGATTTGATACCGATTCAAAAGTAACATTTTACACTGGATTGCCAAATTTGAAAATTTTATGTTGTTTATTTAACTTCTTAAAGCCCTTTATAACTGAAAATGAGAACTCAGTTTTATCGTACTTTGAAGAATTTTCTTTGACGCTTATGAGATTGCGTTTAAATCTATCTATTAGAGACCTTGCTTATAGACTTGAAACTTCAAAAACAACCTCATCAAAAGTATTTTTAAGATGGATTAACATTATGTACTTCAGAATGAAATATTTAATTAAATGGCCTGCTCGCAATGAGCTTATAGAAACTATGCCTTTATGCTTCAGAAAATATTTTGAAACAAAAGTGGCTGTAATAATTGATTACTTTGAAATATTCATAAATAAACCATCTAATCTATGTGCAAGAGCAGCAACTTAATCACAGTACAAACATCACAATATTGTTAAATTCTCAATAAGTGTTAGCCCACAAGGTGTGATAACATTTGTTTCTAAAGCTTGGGGAGGACGTGTTAGCGATAAATTCTAACAGAGCATTGTTCAATTTTAAAAAACATTCTTCCTGGAGATGTTTTTTTAGCTGATAGAGGTTTTAAGATTGCTAAGAGTGTTGGCTTTTATTGACTTGAGAGTTATTGGATTGTTACGTAACAAATATAAAGTTCTGCAAAGTATATAGTTTTTAAAAATTTAACAAAATTGAATAATTAATTGAAACTAGATCTTATAAACAAAAAAAATATTATCAAATTAAGTATCAAATATTTTTATTAAAAGTTTACATTTTTATTTCAATTTTATACAATAATCGTGATAATTAAAAACTTTGTTTTTATTTTTAATGTAGCTGTGTTCTATTAGTATAAATTTATTTTTATCTGATATTTCTTTCATTAATTGTTTTTTTGGCTATAAAATTTGTTAATTAGTTCAGGTAAAATACATTCTTCAAAAAATTGTTTAGATTTTATTATATTCCTGTCCATAAATTTCAAATCCGGCAATATTCTTTTGCAATACGAATCTAATTTCCAAATAAAAAAATCACATTAGTTACTTGATGAAGCATATAACTGACACTGAACTTGATAGTAATACTTATATGATTTTTTTAAAGATATATAACCAGCTTTATTTTCCAGACAACAATTTTTAAAATCTAATAATTTGCTTATGTATTTATCTCACATGCTATATGGACATTTTATCTCCAGACAACCATTTCCACAACAATCACAATTAATAACTGCATCTGTTGATGCACCAAGGAAGGGTTGTTAAACTTTTTGCTTGAAGTCGCGTTGTTCTCTCAACATTTTTACTTTGCTCAATTGTTATTGTAATTTTTTTGTTATTGTCTTTTTTTTAATGTCTGCTTCCTTAATTTACCAAATGTCGTTTCCAGTGTCGTTTTTATACCTGACCAAGTTAAACAACTTCATGTAGTTTGCACTCCTGATCTTGAAGAAGTTTTCGCCAATAATCTATTTAGGGCTTTACTAAAAATATGCAAGGGTATAGGTACTCTACAAATATAGAATTATATTTTTACATATTAGGCGTGGCCACACTTATTTTAAAGTTTTAACCCTACGCCGGATTTATAATACCGGTTAATGTTAATGTTTTATTCGAGTTTCACGGTTTAATAAAAATATACGCAATTAATTTGGTAAAATTAAATTAAATTGTAATAAAATTAATTCAACTCATGAGAGAAAGTTCAAATAGAGGGTGAAATGGCCAGTTACATGGGTTCGAAAGAATCTGGTGCTCTGAAAAGAAAAAATAATAAAACCAACAGTATTCCTTGTAAACAGACTTAGTAAACAAGTATTTTAAAATTTCCTGTGATAGCAATAATTTTACTGGTGGAAAAGTTCCAAGTTGATCTTTATATCCAGTAAGCAGCAAAGTTGTCAATAAATCTCTAGAAAATGAGCATAATATATTCTTGACTTAGATTGTTACTAATGAAGAAAGTGCCTGCACCGGAATTACTGATGTAGAAAATAAAGATACAGATGAAAAACTGCTGTCTGAAAGTATCATTCTCACTACTGATAAAGTAAATTTGGATGAAATTTTTGGAAAAAATAATAATAATGGTAATAATGTAACTTCAAATATTGTAGCTCCCAATAGTCAAAAACAAATTGTTCAACAGCCTTAACTGATTTAAAACTATCTATACAACGGGCAATAATGTTTTATTTTAGATAATTACAAACACCTAAAACTACTAAGAGTAGAGCGCGGTGTCCCATAAAGTTCAATTCTTGGACCCTTTCTGTTTCTTCTATATGTTAACACCTTACAAAAGCCTCAAAAGTTCATCATGTAATTATATTTACCGATGACACAAACTTGTTTTATTCCTCGAACTCAATTAAAGACCTTTAGGAATGTATGAACAAAGAGCTTGAAAAATAAAATATATGGTTAAAATTGAATTTATTACAAAATACAAAAAAAAACAAAATACATATTTTCTCATTCCAAATAATAAAAAAATAATATACAATTCTTCCCTCACTAAAAATAGATAAGGTAAACATAGAACAGAAACAACTAAATTTCTTAGAATACTTGTTGACAAAAATATATTTTGGAGAGCCCATATAAGAACAATAAACACGTATTGGGATACTCACCAAAGTTAAACATAAAGTCCCAACATAATCTTAAATTGCTTTTTTTTCTTACATCCAAAGTTATCTTACAAACGCAATTTCCTGCAATTTATTCCAGATAATTACAAATACCTAAAACTACTAAGAGTAGAGTGCGGTGTCCCATATATATTAGCATATTTATTCAAACTTTCAAAAACTAAAACACTTTCGAAAACTAAAAGATCTTAGTTTTTTGAAAAAATTTTTACTATGTCTATATCTTTAATTCCTACAAAAAATTCGAGTTATCCGAAAAAATATGCTAAAAGGGGATATAAAAATGGTTCAACTAAACGAAGTTTGAGTTGTCAGCCAAAAATACATCAGTTTTCTCTTCGTCATATTATTTTTTTGTGAAAAGATCATATGCACTGTAAGCATCAACAGAAAACGAAATCGAGGAAAAATATTTTGCAAGTCTGTTTTTTTTCTAAAATATTTGCTTTCATTATATTATATTTTCAAGACAAACTAGAAGTGTTATCAGTGACGAACCCAGATTTGGGGGTATTGTTTTTAAGGCGACGTGAGGGGAGGTGATTTTTTTAAGACAGCCTGAAACCCCGCCCCAAGTTAAAACCGGGGACACGACAATGATTTTCAAATACCGCTTTGTTTGTGTTCACCTAGTTAAGCTTTACGCAAAAACAAAGAGTCAATTTGAAATAGCAATAATAATAAATATAATTGCTATTGCACTTCTATATTGTTTGACTGCCATCTGGTGAATACAGATTTATACATAACTATTAGCGTTTATATAGTCTAAATATTGCAAGTTTCCAAAAACCTTTAGGAGCCACCTGAAAACTCTAAAAAGTTTCAAAGATTTTGAAAAACATCCAGAATACCCCAGAAAATTCTAGAAAGTTCTATTAAACTCAAGAAAATTCAAGGTTTCAGACTGTTATAATGCTGTAAATATATATATATATATATATATATATATATATATATATATATATATATATATATATATATATATATATATATATATATATATATATATATATATATATATATTCTAGTGTTTATACTGATCTATGTTGTATATGGTGTTTTTTGGGAACGACCATTTGAACTAATTGTATCCATTATTACCACCTTAATTGTTATGCTTTATTGTATTGTGGAGTTCGCACTGAAAGGACGGTTTCATAAAGGGAAAGTATATATAATTAAATTAGTAAGTAAGATCAGTTATTTTTTGTCCTTATTTTAAATAAATTTTTTTTAACTTTATTTTAATTCTTTGTAGCGTCAATATTTTTATTTTATTATCTTTTATATATACATATGTATATATATATATATATATATATATATATATATATATATATATATATATATATATATATATATATATATATATATATATATATATATATTTCTTAGCTAGCACACTTACATTGTTAAAATATTAGAACAATGTCGCGCGTTTCGTTGGCCCAACATCGGCTGCCAACGTTGTTTTTATATCATTATGGTTACAAATGCGACGTCGCTAACAACTAAAAACCGATGTTGATAAAACGTTTTATTAAAGTCGGAAAATAGTAATATTTTTTTGTTGATTCAACGTTTTATTTTATACGTTGGCCCAACGTTGAATTTACGTTAATTCAACGTTGAACTTCAATTGGCAAAACGTTGTATTCAATACAATTCGGAATTAAATTTTCATTAAATTCTATTATCCTTGTATATACATATGTGTATGTATATAAATATATATATATATATATAAATATATGTATATATATATATATATATGTGTGTGTGTGTGTGTGTGTGTGTGTGTGTGTGTGTGTATTAATACATATATATATATATATATATATATATATATATATATATATATATATATATATATATATATATATATATATATATATATATATATATATATATATATATATATATAAATATGTGTGTGTGTTTTTTTGTTTTTGTTTAATCTATAATACATTTAATATAAATACATATCGTCGCGTTGGTTTGACAAGGTTCTAACTGACATTTTTGCCAAAATCGACTTTATCATTTTATTAGACTATTTTAATCATGATGAACAAAATAAACTGAAATTTACAGTGATATACCGTAAAACAAGCAAACTGCTAATGTGCCAAAGTTCTATCTGCAACTTTAGTTAAATGATATTTAGTTTGACAAGGTTCTAACTAACAATAACTGCATAATCTCTTGCTGGTTTTTATTAACTAATTATTATGATAAAAAATCATATAAAAAAATTCTGATACCGATGTAGAATAAAATATCATTAAAGCTATTATTTGACATTTAAAAAAAATCTTTTTTATAATATTCTGTAGCTTTACTCAAATTGACACCTGTAACATTGAAAAACAAAATTTTGGTTTCGATTAGCATAGAAATAACTATTATTATTCAAAATAAAAATGGGATTTATGAGCTAAAATATTTTATTTTAGCTTTAAATTTATTAATGCATAAACATCATTATTTTTTAAATAATGATGTTTATGCATTAATAAATTTACAAACTTTTCACAGTCAATGCAAGTACAATTTGCCGCGCCATTCCCTTACGGTAAGTCGATCTAACTATATTTTGCAGTGTCTAGCCCAAAAAGTAAGTCAATACTTGTTCATTTTTCTTCACTTATCTACAACGGTTAGTCGATATATGTGCACTTTAGAACGTTGATTTTACAAAGTAACTTATTTTAAATTGTTAAATCAAATATAACAGTAATATTAAAAGTTAAACAACTTGTAATAAAACATTTTTGCATCAATAATAAAAACCAGGCTGCGTAGTTAAAAAAAGATTTTAAAAATGATTTGAAAGTAAAAAAAAAACAATTTGAAAAGTTATAATTTTCGTTGTAAGTAAAATATCAACAGAAAATGGAAAGAGTAGTATTTGATAAAGAAAGCAGCTATGATAGTGACAAATTTGTAGCTCCAACTAGTAAAAGCGGCGAAGACTGCTATGAATTAAGTACACGGTTAGTAACCAACCTAATATAACTTTTTTGTGTGACTTTGGCCATGCATTTACATATTAAAATAGCTAAATTTATAAGCTTTTGAAAAGTTTTTTAAAAAGATCTTTACATTTTAATATTTAAACAGGAAGAAGAGGCGCTAGAAAGTTCCAGAACTGCACTAGAATGTTCCAGAACTGCACAAGATTCTAAACAAAATATTGTTGAAGAAGCTTCTGGAAACAATGCCAACAATGTTTATGTAGCACAAACTGAAAAAAGTTTTGAGATAGACATGAATGTACAACCTACGAATGATGCTAAATTAGTGACAAACAAGTAAGCTAAATATGTAGTGTTCCCCCTCGATCACCCTCTAAATCTTAAATATATATTTTTTTTAATTATGATTTGTTTTTCTAATAAAAATTTCATCTAAAAAGTGATTTCGACATTAAAATCTACTATTATATACAAAGTGAACCATTTTAATCATTTAAGAACGATTTAATTAGTATATGATTATATACTAGAGATACTATTATCGACTAAGTAATAATACTTTTCTAGGGATCAACTTCAACAAACGTTTAAGAAAAAATTCCGTAAACAAATATCTAAACCTGAAACCTGGGGATGTAATAAAAAAAAAAAGGCATATCAGGCTGGTAAAAATTATACAAGTCGAAGAGGAAAACAAGTACCAAATAAGATTATTCAAACAAATAAAAACTGTCTGGCAAACTGTAAGTACGAATGTGAAAGAAAATATCAGAAGATGAGCGAATCGATATTTTTTCATCATTTGCCTTAAATTCAGCTACTGAAAAGAGGCATTTGTTATTTCGACTGATCGCACAACCACTGCTAGACCAAAAAGAAACCACGAGGAAAACAATGATAGTGATAATGCAAATAAAGAAACTGATGACCACGCTGAAAAACAAGTTTTTTCAAAAAGGAAGTACGCCTATAGATATTTTTTTCATGTAAAAGGTGAAAACGTTCGTGTTTGCAAAACATTCTACTTAACTACACTGTCCATTTCACAAAAGCCAGTTTACACAGCTCACAACACCAAAGATATTAAAACAAATACTCCTGCACAAGATCTACGAGGTAAAATCATGAAAGGCAAACGTACACCGCATAGTGATGCCAACTCAGCTAGGGATCACATAAAATCTTTTCCAACAGTTGAGTCGCATTATTGTCACGTAAGTACCAATAGAGAATACCTTGAGTCACACCTTAATGTTTCAAAAATGTATAATCTTTACAAAGAGAAATCTATAAACGAAAATATTGAGCCAGTAAAAAAATCTATGTACTACCATATTTTCTCCACCGAATTCAATCTTAGTTTTCACATTCCCAAAAAGGATAGATGTGAACTTTGTGAGAAGTTTAAAGTTGCTGAAAACAAAGATACTATGCCTGAAAAATTGAGAGAAGACTTTGAAAGACATCAAGTTTTTAAAAAAGAAATGAGAGATATACGTTCTGAAGAAAAAAAGGATAAAAATTGTCCTGTTTTACTTTTTGACCTTCAAAATGTTATTTTGACTCCGCATGCAGAAATTAGTTCCCTTTTTTATCTGAGAAAGCTTAGCGTGTATAACTTGACAGCATATTTTTCAACAACCAAAAAAGTGTATTGTGCATTATGGACTGAATCAATGGCGGGAAGAAGCGGCAATGATCTTGCCAGTGCCTTTTGCAAAATTTTGAGTGATATGGCAG